GAGAGCCAGTGTGACAGCAACAGATGACAATGAGGAGCCAGTGTGACAGCAACGGGTGATATTGTAATTTTTAAGAAAATCCTAAGAATTGGTGTAATGTTGGTAAGGAGGTTGTGATATGGTGACAAAAAATAATAAAGGGACAATGTGTACAAATGACCGGTGACAGCCGAAAGACAACTGCAGTGAGATGATGACAGTAAGAAAGTCTGTAACGGTGATGGGTGACAGTAGGGAGGTGGTGAGGTGGAATGGTGACAGATGACAAGCTAGGAAGAACGCAGCACGCAGAATCTCGCCATCCGTTTGGCCATCAGGCGATTCAGGTGTCCTTTCCCTCCATCTGTAAAGTGCCTCTTCATGAGGTGGATCCACAACAGAACTTCAAGACATGGGTTTTCCCAGGCGTCTCACAGCAAGGGGGTTCATACACCCCCACATTCCTCCAGGCAGGCGCCTCTGCCCCGAACTTTGATGGAGGCTGGCGTCAGAAAGTGGGATCTCTAGGGCTGCATTTTGCCTTGGGTGGCTCTGGTTTCTAGCATGCAGGATCATCGAGTACCATCTGAGCCCAGGGAGCAGAGAGGGAATGGAAGACGTCTTACTGGGACCAGATCTGCGGGTGATTTGGGGGCGACTCTGCTGGCTGAAGAACTCCCAGGATAGGGTCTCCAGTCTCCCGGGTAATCTGCATGCAACCAAAAGTTCTTTCTGTCCCTTGCAGTTTAAGAATCCTGATGCTCTGGGCCACGTACAGTCACAGCGAGGTGAAGGTATAAAGGTGACAGGAGACAACATGAATGTCACGGGCAGTGGAGTAACCAGAAAGAGCAAGGTGTCCCGTTAACGGGTGGCAATGAGAGGGTCACAGCAGTGGGTGACAGTGATGGGTCACCCTGTAATAGAAACTTGGTGATGACTCAGCATTGATGGGGAGACTGTGTGACATGCTCTGCCCTTGTGACAGTTCTGGGTGAGAGTCTAGCTGTCCCTTCACGACAGGTGATGTCAAGGAGTGACTGCATAGGTAGCACTCTAGTGTGACCACATCCGTGAAGGGCAGCAGTTAACTGACCCAGGCAGTGGCGCCACTGGGAGACAAGGCTGTGACAGTAGAGGGAACGTGATGACCAGAGAAGTGCTTGCTCTGCTGCAGATCCTGTGTGCAGGGACTTCTGAGAGCGCCAAACCTCCTCTGTCTCCCCACAACCGCTGGGGTCCTTCTGTACGCAATTCCACAGAGCAGACGGGGATAACTCTAGAACAGAATCACCGCTGGGCTTAGACATCACAGCGCTGGTCATGTCGCGTCCCTGGTGTGGGTCCGTCCCTCTCCACCCTCCGCACACCTGCTGCCTTGTTTCTGGGGCAGCCAGAGCCTGTCCCGGTGCTTCAGAGTGGAAGATACTTGCTGACTAACGAACGGACCAGGTGAACCTTGTCAAAAGAGCCCAGGAAGGAATGATAGAGGTGTCCCTGGAAGCAGATCCATCCACAATGACCACTGGGCCCTCACACACTGGAATGCCGCACCTCTTGTCACTGCTGTTCCAATGATCCTGGAGTTTTCCCTACTCCACCCTCCCCATGCCCAGCATCCCTCCTGCACCTTCTCGCAGGCTCCAGGAACCTCCCTTGGCTAGGATGCCCCAAATCTTGTCCCTGAAAGTTCCCTCTGCCTCACACTCCCCCAGCCCAGCCCTGGAGCCCTCGCTGCTCCCCAGATCTAGACCCCACAGTACAGCCTCTGGAGTGACTCCCCTTTCTGGGAGCCTACCATGGCTCCCCTCAGAGGTGGGGGGCGCCTGCTGCAGGCTCCTGGGTGCTCCTGGCTCCTGCTCACCCCTCCGACCTCCCTCTTTCCTTTCTCCCTTCTCCCAAAGCTCCAGCCTCGCTCAGCTGCCGCGTGTTCCAAACCCTCTTGTCTCCGGGACCTTGCCTGTGCTCTCTCCTCTGCTTGTCCTTCCTCGGCTTTTCTGCTTCTCCTTCATCTCCGGAGCCTTCCCCATCCCCAGGCAGAACCTCCTTTCCTCCCTCCTCCTGGGGTCCTCTCCCGCCCCGGAAGGTCAGAGTCCAGGTCTGTCTCCTGGGACCCACACTGGGAGGTTCTAAGAGTGTCTCCCTCACAAGGATGTTTGGTGATTAAATGAGATAATATGTACACAACACTTAGCACCAAGTGCGGCACATAAGCACCCAAAAAATATTAGCTCAAATTATTATTTGTTACTTATTTAGTACACTCCAGAAATGCTATGATGGAGACATGACCAGCACAATCAGCTTTGGAAATTCAACAGAATAAACTAACAATTTGGGGGTGGAGACAGGAATTTTGAACCGGGCTTTGCCAGATGCATAGGAGTTTGCTGAGTGGAATAACAGCTTCAGGTCCAACTGACAGCTTCTGAAGGATTTCCATATTTAGGGTCACTGGTGGTGTCCGTTTTTAAAGGTGGGAGAGTGGTGAAAAAAGCTAGAAACTTTTGCTCGGGATGTAGACTCCAGTTTGAAGTCTGGCCCCTAGGCTCAAAAAGTAGAACCGATTCCTAAACTCGTCTTGACAATCGGATGCAAATATACGGACTTTCCCCCCAGGAAACACATCTTTGCCCAGTGTTTTTTGTCTACACTTTTAGGGGCCTTTGGATCGTAAATCCAGGTTCCAGAGCCAGGTGAGTTCCAACGTCACCCTTGGAATTCTTCTAACCCGAGGGAGGGGGAGGCAGCTTGGGAGGACCTAGAAGGGCCTCCTAGGTGAGTCCTGGGACCTCTCGGCTTGGCTCTCTTCCAGGCCACCCCAAATCGGAGCCAAGTTCTCTCTGAAAACACAGTCCCCGCAGCACCCCGCTCCACGGCCCCGGAGCCCCCGCACGCCGCATCTCGGCCCCAGCCCCGGCTCTGAGCTCCCTTCCATTTCTCCAGCCCCTAGGAGTTTCCCCCGGAGCCCCAGGCCCTCCCCCAGCTCCAGCCCCTCCCCCAGCTCGGATCCGAGACCCGGGCCCCCGCCCAGGGAGCTTC